CCCAAATGGTTGGGGACCACTGGTCTAGACCATCCCTGATAGACATTTATCTAACCTGCTCTTAAATATCTCCAGAGATGGGGATTCCACAACCTCCCTGGGCAAATTATTCCAGTGTTTGACTACCCTGACAGGTAGGAACTTTTTCCTAATGTCCAACCTAAACCTCCCTTGCTGCAGTTTAAGCCCATTGCTTCTTGTCCTATCCCCAGAGGCCAAGATGAACAAGTTTTCTCCCTCCTCATGACACCCTCTTAGATATTTGAAAACTGCTATCGGGTCCCCCTCAGTCTTCTCTTTTCTAAACTAAACAAACCCAATTCCTTCAGCCTTCCGTCATAGGTCATGTTCTCTAGACATTTAATCATTCTCGTTGCTCTTCTCTGAATCCTCTCCAATTTTTCCACATCTTTCTTGAAATGCAGTGCCCAGAACTGAACACAATACTCCAACTGAGGCCTAACCAGTGCAGAGTAGAGTGGAAGAATGACTTCTTGTGTCTCGCTCACAACACACCTGTTAATGCATCCCAGAATCATGTCACATCCTAGAGCATTGCCCTAGACCAGCATTTCTCAAACTGGGGTCTGTAAGAGAACTCCACAGAGGAGCAAAGGGGTAGTTGATCACTGCCCCTCCAATCAACTCCTCCGCCTCCCTCCTGCATGCCTCTTCCCCAGTGTGCAGGAGGCGTTGGGAGCGGGGGAGGAATGAAGACAGGGTATGCATGGGGGAGAGGGCAGGAAGAAAAGGGACAGGAGAAGCCGGGGGGGAGGGGGTTTGGGCAATGGGGGAAGGAGTGGAGTGAGGGTGGGACCCGGGGCTGAGGAAGATTGGGAGTCTGCAAAAAATTTTAAATCAAAATGCGTGTCCTTGAGTTGCTACAATTTGAAAACCACTGCCCTAGACTACAAGGTCCATATTAGCTGCTCTCATCCAAGCTCTTTCGCCTTTTTCTCTTAGCCAGGTTGCAGTGCTATTTCCGGGTACATTGTGTGCAAATCAGCCAATGAGTGCTAGTGTCTAAGTGACTTAACTTGCTCCACAGGTCTCGTTGTGCTACTTTGGGGGCAAAGGTCCATCTACACTGTAATCAGAGGTATGACAGCAACAAGTGCAGTCACACCCAACCTAGTTTTACCCTAGCTTGTTCTACACTAGTAGTGAAAGTGCAGCAGCATGCACTTGAATTCAGGGACTTGGGCTTGTGCAGGCCCTGCTGCCTTGCCTTCCTAGCTATTATTTGAGCTACCTAGATCACATGTACACATGCCACACTCACACCTCTGTCTGCAAAGTGGAAACCCTCCAAAACTTGGGTCGATGTGAGCACATCTGAAAATTCCCATTGAATCGCCCTAAACAACTGTCTTGAAGTGCTCAGCCTTCAGAGCGCACAGGGGAGTCACTGGGGTACAAACGAACATTCTCTTTGTAAAGCCTGAGCATCTAAGCTTTTGCGGAGATCCAGGGCAGGGTGTGTGCACCCCCAGTAACATTTGGAGGTCTTTGCCACTAATGTTATTTTAAAGGAATGTGTTTTTGTCACTGACCCTGACCAAGTGAGTAAAGTCTACATCTGCTCTCTTTGGGTCAACCCTCTGCCCCACTGGGGTATATTGCCAGGCCTCCTTCCTGTTCCAGATCAACAAGCAGAGAGCTTGAGTGTTTATAATAGAAACAGGCTGAGATGGAGACTCATCCCAGGCAATTTGACCTTTCAGATAGATCTCTTTGAATATCCTGCATATTTATTTCTGGGATTTCCATGGCAAGCTGGGTGTGGGGGGGAAGGGAAGTGTGTACAGGGAAGACAGAGAAACTGGGTTTTGAAGCTGGACAGTAGCCAATCCTGCAAATCACGAATGCAATGCATTAACATGCAGAAGTGCCATATATGGAGTTCATGACCTTTCAATTTACCCGTGAATTGCAAATAAGGTAAGGATAGGAGCAAAAGAAGAGGTAGAATTGTACATATTCAAAAGGTTTATACCTGCATCCCTTGAAGGATTTAGAATAATGGTGGGCAACCTGCGGCCCATTGGGGTTCTATGTGCAGGCCACAAGACATTTTGTTGATCACTGCCCATGCACAGGGATGCCAAATTCCGCTGGTTTCTGTCCCTGTTGTTTTTCCCTACCAGCATTGCTAAAGTGACACACATGTAAAGCAAGGGCACGTGAACCAAGGTGTGTGCTGACTGCGCACAACATTGACTGTGAAAGCCATGTGCTCCCTCTGCATCTGAAGTGCTGCTACAATTCCATTGGCACCACCTACAAATTTTAGGTATGTAAGTGCAGCTAGCAAAACTATCCTACCCTGAAGCTTCAGGGAGTAGCCGAGTTAGTCTGTACAGGATAAACTTAAACAACGAATAGTCTGGTAGCACTTTAGAGACTAACACAACATGTAGATGGTATCATGACGACGACTCTAGTCATCTGAAGAAGTGGGCTGTGCCCACGAAAGCTCAGGATACCATATGCATGTTTTGTTAGTCTATAAAGTGCTACCAGACCAGCTGTTATTTTTTAAATTTATCCTATCCCGGGAAGCCATCTTGGTGAGAACAGTATTGCAACCAACTGATGAAGGATAGTCACTCAAGTGGGGTCACTTACTTGCCTCAGTTGCCTATCACAGATCTAGATGGAGTTATATCAGCAACAATTAAACCATCCTTGGATGAAAATGGCTTTTCTTCATTGGTAGTGTGCTGTCTCTATCAGAAGCAGTAGTGTAGGGCGGCAGGTTGAAGCCAGTCTGTGTGGGGAGCTGATTCAGAGGCAGTAGTGTGAAGTGGCAGGGTCTCCCCAGGAGTGGGTCCAGGAGTGTACTAGCTGGCAGCCCCGCTCCTGGGTAGTATTTTAGTAACCATGTAATCAATAAAAATGTTGCAACTACACAATTACTAAAATACAAAACAGTCCATTTTTATATGATTTTACTCCTTTGGTTGCTTGATATATTGGAAATGTGGCCCTTAATTGGGTGAAATCTGGCTGCAAGACTTGTATTCGTATTTGCTCTAGCTATATAAAATGCAGTGACAGGCAGGTCTCAGAAAGGTAGCTAATCCAATTATCTCATAAGAAGACTAGAATACCCCCAAACACTCAATACCTACAAGTAAAGGGCAAATGGTATTTTGTGGGGCATATTCCTAGCCTTTAAAATAATGGTACAGTCACTAGGCAATTTAAATCTAATGCTGTAACAAAGAACTATGTCATAGCTTCAGTGCAAAGCACCACTAAAATATAGCAAGGCCTAGATCACAAGGTTTTAAAACAAGAGAGATCAGACAAGTATGTCAAATATGTTTAATTTTTTTTTAAAATAACTGATGGTAAAATAAAGTATTTACATCACATCATACTGTTTAAACATATCACTGTACAAAGAAATATACATGCAAAATAAAAGTAAAAATTTAACTGAAATAATAGAAGAAAATAACACATGAATAAGATGTTATGAGGTTGGTAAGAAGACACATCCAGTCTTTAATTCATTTTTCTTTTAAAAAGTTTCTGTACAACTTTACAAAACAAAAAATCAACAAAAAGGAATAAATAGAAAACAATGGAAGTGGCAAAGTTTAAAACTATCCAAAGCCAGTTTATGGCTTAAGACTCATATCTAACTAGTGTGGGTTGGAGGCTTAATTTCCTTATTTAAAACAGGCATTTTGTACAGAGAAACATAGATGTCAATACATCCATGTCAAATCTGTGATGACCAGAAAGCCAAACTCTGTCTTTTTAAATATGTTAATATTACCTTAATCTAAAAAACAGTACATAAGACAGTTACATTACATCAGGTCACATGACCACTACTGCTTGAATTTATTTCTTTGCCAAAGAGAGAAAAAAAATCATTCAATTATTGTACAGAAAACAGTAAATGCAGATTTGAAAATTCTAAAAACTAGTAAATGTTGAGATTGGTTTGGGAAAGTAATACTTTGGCATTTTGAATAATGTAATAATATTTTTTTTTAAATGTCACCCTATTTCTTATCCAGTTTGTGATTCTGGTTATGAATACCTAACTTATTTATTTACAATCCTTAAAACTCACAAGGTTCTTTTCTAAGTTTTATGCTAAAATCTGATAATTAAACTAATGACAGTATGATACAATATCCCTCACCCACCCAGAAACTCCAAACACACAAACAAAACCATAAAGCTCGCCATACTAAGAATGTGCTTTTTCTATATATTTATTACAGTTACAACAGAGGTCTTCATAAATAGTTGCATAAAATGTTAAAGCCACAACATTGCACATGATATGAAATAAAACAAAATTCCAAATGAGTGCATTTACAGTATTTTCATCCTGCTGTACACTGCTCGACAATAAGATTGGCAGGCTGGGCACCAACCCAAAGTCCTTTTCGAATAGGACAGCAAGGGCTGACCTGAACTGAAGACCCGCACAGTGGTATACCACCATTTAGGGAGGAGGGAGAGGGAGAGAAAAATTACAGACTGAAGGCAGGTAACAGTCTATATACAAGTAAGGCCTACATTTTATCAGAGCAAAATGATTCATTCTATTTTATGCAAAAATTTTGAGGTTGGATGCACTTAAAAGCAGAGTCTGATCTCAGTGCACTGCTATGTGAGATATATACAGGTGAGGCAACTGGAAAGCTCTAGGACCAAGTGAAAAAATGGACATCAATGGAGGCCATATCAATGGGCAGCCAATTTGGTGAGTCTTCTCCAGGTGTGATTTGGTATTTGTCCATGTCTGTTTGTCAATCCCAGTGCTTTGAACATAGGCATTTATTTCCTCAAACAAATCTTGAAAATGGTAAGTTCGTTTGCAAAATTCTATTAGTTTTTTTAAAAAAAAGTGTTTTTTTGCAGAAACCTGAATAAAACACTGTTACTGTAATACTCTTGACTGTCTTTCACAGAGTACAATGCTATAGGCCTCCACCTCAGCATAGTTTGCATTGCTAGTCCCAAGTACTACTATGTGCAGGGTTACTTGGAATGCATTTTCACACGAACATTCTAGCAGCTGATTGGCTCTGTTTTAGTCTCCAAAATTCAAGTCAACAGCTGATTGGCAGGAGATTTCCATCTCCAGTAGGATTGGCAGGTGAAAGAGAATGAGAGAGAATTTCAAGTGAGGTCAAACTCTTGGCAAGAGCCTGCTCTGTAAGAAGTTTTTAATGCTACGAATGGGTCGAACATCATTCTGGTGTTTTCGCCGCTCAATGAACGAAGTCAGTCTGGATATGTCAATGCTGTCAACATTTTTGCTATTCCCCAGCTGCAGCCATTGCTCTTGAAGGACCAATGCTGCAGAAGGACGCTTAGCTGGGTCATCCTGAAGTAGAAAACATACAAAATCTTTGGCCTTTTGGCTAACTCCTTTGAAGTAGTCATCTGGGAAACTAAAGTCTAAGCGGCAAATATTCAGGCAAGTTTCCTCTACACTTTCATCCAGGAAAGGAGAGACGCCACTAAGAAGGACATATGTGAGCACTCCGATGCTCCAAACATCTGAGGTTAGTGAGACAGGATTTCCGAGGATAATTTCAGGAGCTGCAAACTCTGGGTTCCCAAGTAACTGGTGGATATAATAGGTGGTATTAAGCTGGACGGCATCTCCAAAGTCAGCCAGTTTTATTGTTGGTTTAGCTGAACTCTGATCCACCAGAATGTTTTCAGGCTATAAAATACAAAGAGGAAAATCATATTCATCTTTCAAATAAGTCTGGCACACGTCTAAAGCCTTAGTCTACTCCTTTCCAACCAGCACAGGCAGTTGAGGGGCACAGCAAAGATTTACAAGCGCAGTGGATTATCAGGGCTAGCTCCACAAAGTTCCCATATGGTTCTCTCAAGCTCCTCAAAGTTTGCAAAGAATTCTGCAACAGTCTGCAGCATCCTGGAAGATGTGATCATTGAGTTTTAGGTTCTCGCAGAGTCATGACACAGGAAACACAGTCCTGCTCAGTTGGCAACAATTCACTTCACAATAAGAGTTCTGCAGAGACCCACAGAAAACTGGAACTCTGTAAACCTGCAGTTTGAAGACCCAACAACTTTTCACTAATAGTGTGACACAGAAAACAAAAAATAGAATATTTAGACTGGAGTAGGAAATCAAAGATTTTTTTTTTCTAACAAAGTGTCTCTTAACATGTACATGTCTGTGGCTCACCATTTATTTTACAATACAGAAGTAGCTGAACTGAACTAAAGTTTAAAATCAGGATCTCTTAGAGCAGTGTTTCTCAATCAGTGGTATGTGTACCCTTAGGGGTACTCGAGAGAAGTCTGGGGGGGGGGGGGTAAGTCAACACAACTGAAATTTGGAGAAAACTGAATTTTTGTTGTAAGTTTTACAGCACTTTATTATTTGTGTACATTTTACACACAAAAATTTCATCGCCTATACAGCTACAATTAAGTTGTTTAAACACATGTGATGCAATGGTAGAAAAAAATGGTGTGTCTGAAAACTGTAGGTACTGGGGGTACTTATAATTTTTTTTTTTAAAAAGGAGTACTTTATAAAAAAAGGTTGAGAAACAGTGTCTTACAGCTTCACTGTGGAAGCCACAGGAACTGTTACAAGCAACTCCTAAAAGCTGCTGAGGGGAAGTAGAATGTTTATTTTGTTTTGAACTAGAGAAAAGTTACTGAGCTATAACTGGATTTCAAGTAGACGCCCCACTCTGGAATTCAGCTATGCACAGGGTGGCCAACAGACTTTGTCAGGCCCCAAGTAAGAATGACAGAGAGGGCGTAAAGGGGGGACAGAGAGAGTGAGCGTGAGTGTGTTCTGAGCCTCCAGAAGGGCAGGACTTTGGACAGAAGGGACGGGGCCGGGACTAGCCTCTCCCAGCCAAGCCAGCTTTTCAGTGCCACCTGGCATGGGCCACCTGGGGCTCTGGTGGCAGGGATCGCCAGGCCCTTTTAAAATTGTTGGCCCCAGGGCAGTTGCCCCTCCCCTCTCCGGTTAACAGGTCAGAAAAAACACTTTCTGAGCCCACAACAACTGTAGATCAAGTCAAAGCGACGAGGAGTCCTGTGGCACCTTATAGACTTATATTTCATTGTAATATGAAAACAGCAATGGTTTATATTTATATATGCTGATTTTAACATTTAAAAAGCATTTTCAAGTTAAATTATCCTTATCTTTACAAACAGCATCAATTTGTGAACCCTGGCTACTATTACCAAATAGAAGTTTAATTTTATTTTTCTTGAAATCAAATGATAAATTCTATTCCCCCTGGGATTAATCAGTCTTCATTAATCATGTAGCACCATTCAGAGATTACTATTCTAAAGCACACTTAGGAAGGGGGCCTCTACAGAAGGAAAAGCAGTGTTTTAACCAGATGAAAGAAATCCAATACATGCATCTGACGAAGTGGGTCTTTGCCCACGAAAGCTTATGCTCCTACACTTCAGTTAGTCTATAAGGTGCCACAGGACTCCTCATTGCTTTTGCAGATTCAGACTAACACGGTTACCCCTCTGATGCAGATCAAGTCAATTTTTTAAATTAATGTTTTTGAAGATGATGGGAAATTTGGGGCATGAGGGTTTTGCCTTTTTTATCTTCTTCTTTTCATATCAAGAATGAAATCTGCAGAATTGAGTCCAAAGCCTTTTACTGCCTAAAAGATTCTGCAGGCACAGAGGATCTCCTGGCATCAGTTTTCCCCATCTAAACTGAGACTGGCTAGGAGAAAGGGCCAGTAACAAGCCTCAAATCCATCTTGAAACCTTCAAAGCTTTTTCCACCAAAATGGATCAGATACAAACATCATATCCCAGAGAGATGGAACAAGGATGCAGCAGATGCCCTTCACCCACGCACCGCAGACAAAGTATAAAACACAGAAATGGAGAATTTGGAGCCATAAGAGCAGCAATGTTTTAACCAAATTTACACAACAGATTCTGCTGTTTCAAATTATCTCTATAGCAAGCTCCCCAGACAAAAACAAGCAAACAAATCAATAGTGTATGTTAAAAGTCTAACAATTTGTTACCACGTACAGAGAAAGAGATCTTAACAAAGGTGAACATGAACAGCCATCAGACCAAGCTGGAAGACACAATGGCATTTGAGATTTTTTTTAAAGGCTGAAAATAACTTAAGGTGCATGGGGGGCAAGTCCCACCACTTCCTATAACCTAGGATGGAGCATTGCATGGCTTAAAGTAAAGGGGTTGCATGGCTCTCAATTGCCAGAACTTTCTATGTCTGGAGTATGCAGCTGTCACCTAGAAAAGGCAATCTGTTCTGGTAACATTCCAGGTGTAACTTTGGCTCCTCACCTTTAGGTCCAGATGTGCTATTCTGCAGTTGTGAAGATACTGTACAGCTTCCAGAATCTCTCCCAGATACAGCCTGATTTTCCCTTCAGTGAGGTTTCCCCATTGCACAACACAGTCTAGAAAGCGACCCTGATCAGCCCTATTGAATATAAAGGTGCATTTCATTGTAATATGAAAACAGCAATGGTTTATATTTATATATGCTGATTTTAACATTTAAAAAGCATTTTCAAGTTAAATTATCCTTATCTTTACAAACAGCATCAATTTGTGAACCCTGGCTACTATTACCAAATAGAAGTTTAATTTTATTTTTCTTGAAATCAAATGACAAATTCTATTCCCCCTGGGATTAATCAGTCTTCATTAATCATGTAGCACCATTCAGAGATTACTATTCTAAAGCACACTTAGGAAGGGGGCCTCTACAGAAGGGGGCCTCTACAGAAGGAAAAGCAGTGTTTTAACCAGATGAAAGAAATACCCATAAAACTGCAAGACTACGTCTACACTGCAGGCTTCTTGCGCAAGAACTGTTTTGCGCAAGAGTTCTTACGCAAAAGGTCTTGCACAAGAGCACGTCCACACTGCCATGTGCTTTTACGCAAGAGCATCCATGGCAGAGTGGACACTCTCTTGTGCAAGAAAGCTTTGATGGCCATTTTAGCCATACGGGTTTCTTGCACAAGAAACTCCTATTGCCCATCCACACTGCCTTCTTGTGCAGGAGCTCTTGCGCAAGAGGGCTTATTCTTTGTGGGGAGAGGAATAACTCTTGCGCAAGAAGCCCTCTCTTCTGATGCTTTACTGTAAATTTACTTGTGCAAGAGTGCGTGTGCAGTGTAGACACTCTGCAAGTTTTTGCGCGAGAATAGCCTGCAGTGTAGACATAGCCCAAGGCTTTAGTTATTTTTAATCTGTATGTTCCTTCTATAGTGAATTTCAAAAAATTACTAGTAGAATATAGGCAGCACAAGAGCAATGATCTTGATCAGACGGCTTTATTCAACTGAAGCTATTCTGGATAGGGATGTGAATGCCTAGATGATTAGTCACCCCCACCCTCCTTCGCCTGCTGCCTCTATCAAAAAGAGGCAGCAAGGGGAGGGGGGAAAGAAATAAGGGTGCTTCAAAGTGGCAGCGCCATGTGGAGCCCAGGGCCAGATCCCAGGCTCTATGTGGTGCTGCCACTGTGAAATCCCGGGTGCAGCCTGGGGCCAGCTGGGAGTCCCCCGCTGACTCCAAGCTCCATGTGGCGCTTCTGCTTTGAAGCGCCATGCGGTGTGACACACCAGGCTCCCTGCAGCGTTTCAAAGCGGTAGTGCCGCAGGGAACACAGGGTTAGTAGGGGACTCCCCAGTTCTGAAATGCTGCGGGGAGCACAGAGCCAGCAGGGGACTCAAGCCCTGTGTTCCTCACAGCACTTTCGCCTTTGAAGTGTAGCAATATAACAAATCACCGGGACCAGATGGCATTTCACCCAAAGGTTCTAAAAGAACTCAAATGGGAAATTGCAGAACTGTTAACTGTGGTTTGTAATCTATCCTTTAATCGGCTTCTGTATTTACTGACTGGAAGGCAGCTAATATGACACCAATATTTAAAAAGGGCTCTAGAGGCGATCCTGGCAATTACAGACCAGTAAGTCTAACTTCAGTACCGGGCAAATTAGTCGAAACAATAGTTAAGAATAAAATTGTGAGGCATGTAAAAGAACATAATTTGTTGGCCAAAAGCCAACATGGTTTCTGTAAAGGGAAATCATTTCTTACTAATCTATTAGAGTTCTTTGAAGGGGTTAACAAACATGCGGAAAAGGGGGATCCAGTAGATATAGTATACTTAGATTTTCAGAAAGCCTTTGACAAAGTCCCTCACCAAAGGTTCATGTGTAAATTACATTGTCATGGGATAAGAGGGAAGGTCCTTTCATGGACTAAGAACTGGTTAAAAGACAGGAAACAAAGGGTAGGAATAAATAGTAAATTTTCAGAATGGAGAGGGGTAACTAGTGGTGTCCCCAAGGGTTAGTCCGAGGACCAATCCTATTCAACTTATTCATAAGTGATCTAGAGAAAGGGGCCAGCAGTGAGGTAGTAAAGTTTGTGGATGATACTAAACTGTTCAAGATAGTCAAGGCAGAAGCAGAGTGTGAAGAACTTCAAAAAGATCTCACAAAACTAAGTGATTAGGCAGCAAAATGGCAAATGAAGTTTAATGTGGATAAGCATAAAGTAATGCACGTTGGAAAAAATAACCTCAACTATACATATAGTATGATGGGGGCTAATTTGGCTCTGACAAATCAGAAAAGAGATCTTGGAGTTATCGTGGAGAGTTCTCTGAAAACGACCACACAGTGTGCTGCAGAGGTCAAAAAGGCAAATAGAATGTTAGAAATTATTAAGAAAGGGATAGAAAATAAGACATAGACTATCTTGCTGCCCCTGTGTAAAACTATGGTATGCCCACATCTTGAGTACTGTGTACAGAAGTGGTCTTCTCACCTCAAAAAAGATATTTTGGCCTTGGAAAGGGTTCAGAAAAGGACAACTAAAATGATCAGGGGTTTGGAACAGGTCCCATATGAAGAGAGGCTAAAGCGACTGGGACTTTTCAGTTTGGGAAAGAGGAGACTGAGGGTGGATATGACAGAAGTATATAAAATCATGAGTGGTGGTGAGAGGATGAATAAAGAAAAGTTATTCATTAGTTCCCATAATATAAGGACTAGAGGACACCAAATGAAATTATTTGGTAGCAGGTTTAAAACTAATACGCGAAAGTTCTTCACACAGCACATAGTCAATCTGTGGAACTCCTTGCCAGAGGAGGCTATGAGGGCTAGAACTATAACAGAGTTTAAAGAGAAGCTAGATAATTTCATAGAGGTTAGGTCCATAAAAGGCTATTAGCCAGGGGGTAGGAATGGTGTGCCTGGCCTCTGTTTGTCAGAGGCTGGGGGTGGATGGCACGAGACCAATCACTTGATCATTGTCTTCGGTCCACCCCCTTCAGGGCACTTGGTGCTGGCCACTGTCGGCAGACAGGCTACTGGGCTAGATGGACCTTTAGTCTGACCCAGAACGGCCATTCTTATGTACATTTCAAAGGCGGAGGCACCCTTATCGACTAATTGATGTAAATTTCATTGACCATTTGATTAGCCAATTAATCGAAATTTTATATCCCTAAAACTGGAGCAACACAGCAAATCCCATTTCCAGTTTAAGGACCCTGACGTATTTCACATAGTTTTAATCAGAAAGACCCTGACATATTTCACATAGTTTTAATCTACTTTCTACTATACTAATCTCTAAACATAACTCAGAAAACAGCTCATAAAAATGCAATAAAAACATTACGGTGTCTCTATTTTTGGTGCTCAGTCTGAGACACAAACATTCATAATGCCTTAGTCTCAAAGTGCTGAAAGTCTTAACCCCTAAAGTCCCTAAAACCATTAATCTCTATTGAATGTCTTGCACACCATCTACATGTTAGATATGTGAAGAACCTGCATTTTGAACCTCTTTGAATAGCATGTCAACATAACGTAACCTTGCATGCATGTACTGCATTCATACAGAGGAAAAAACCTTAAGAGTATGAAGAAAGTGGAGGGGCACAGAACAGGGAAACACGGAACTGCTGATCTTATTAAGATGCTATGGAATAAATTTTCCTTCCATCACCTACTCCAGCTGATATTGAAATGAGTCAGGAACGGAGAAACAACACAGGGAGGTGACATGAGAATTTCAAGCATATCAACATTTTATATTATTTACTCCATCCACATCTTACTCCTGTACGTATCTACGTACGTATGTACGCACGCACGTACGCACAGAGCGCCATTTACACAACTTAAAAGTGAGATGGTTAACAGGATCATCTGCACCACAGTGATCATCCATCCCCTTTCTTTCCAAGTCATTCTGATGGGAAATAGTTTACAGGAGATTTTAGTTGGGGGAATTGGTTCTTGTGAACAGCCAGGGTCTTTGCTTTCCATTATGGACAAGAAGAACATTTTGGAAAAAACTTAAGACAGTATTATCATCTCTAAAAACAGAACGTGAGAGTTCTAGGACTTTATGTAAGCACTCTAGAAGTTCTCTGACATCCTGAACTTCTCCAAAATAATCCACAAACTACTACAATACCCAGGCATAAAAAAATCATTTGCATGAAGATTACATATTTATATATAAAATGATGTTACTTAGAGCCCACACACATCTCTAATACTAAGATGTAGCTGGTGGAAGTCTCAAAGGTATCTAGAAGGCCAATAAGCTGGGGATGTTGGAGATTCTGCATGATTCCGAGTTCATGGGTAACCTGGTCTCGTTTCATCAATTTCTTGTTCACAAACTTAGTGGCCACTGCTCGTTTGGTTCCTTTCTGATCACATTTCTTAACAACAGAAAATCTGCCCCTAAAAAATAATTAAAAAAGAAAAGAATTAGCTGAGGGCAATGCTAAAGGACCAGAAACTGCACAACATTTTACTAAGACAAAAGTTATGATCATGTCCAATAGCACGTAAATAAAAGTAGTTTGACTACATTCAAAGACTAAGTATTATTACTTAATAATACTTCTCTTGGTAACTAATGAGCTTGAATAAAAAATTCTTTTAAATTTCCAGAAAAGTAAAATCAGAATTTGATCTGTGTTCCAGGGTAGTATGACTAAGCAATGCAAATAGATTTTAGTTTATTAATTCCATCTATATACTAGCTATCAGACCAATTTTTTTTTTTAATTCTTGGGTGATAATGAGGGGGTTTGTTGTAAAGATTAATATACTTACCTAAGGGAGTGCTGTATAATCTTATGGAGCTCTTAAGTACAATTGTTCAGAGAACACGTGCCATTTTTCATAAAACATATACAGTTTCACAAAACACATCCTCTAATTTAGCCCATGAGTAAAGTTTCAGCATAAAAAAATTGCTTTTGTATTTAAGCTAGGATTTTAGTATTGTGTTACATTTTCTTCACAGGCTAAGAAAGTCTGTGTTTGACTCTCAATTGATCATTGCAACTAATACTTGTAAATTTTAAGAAAATTTCATAAAGAAATAATCTGAATCAGTGTCGTATTTTTGACCAACTTTCACAATGAAATGGCCCAAGTCATACCTGCCAAGCTCAACCACTTCACTGTACAGGGAATCAAAGTTGTCTTTCCAGATTACCATGATCCCATCACTTCCAGGACCTTAACAGAAAAAACAAGTAGAATTATTTTAGTATAAAAATATTTTCAGCCGTAATTTAAACAACCCATATGAAAAAGGGATACACCTCAGAATTTAACAGCTGTCATGAAAATAATCAGACTGTTTTGGGTGGTTGTACACTGGACAAAATCTAAGAAATGGTGCCTTATTTGGAAGTGGATTTTGAAGGGATGAATACTCCTGTGTCATGAACTGATCATTGTCTTTTTTGGTTTGAGGTTGGGATGTATATACCTTAGAAGGGCCATGGGTCTGTTTATGTGGTGTCAGTGATTTCAGGAACCCTTGAGGTATAAAGTTGCTCTTCTGATTGACCATCCATGATGGTTTGGTAAGTCTTCATTTCCATAATGGAGAACAAAATAATGTTCTAATGGCCAGTAAATGCCCTTCACCCTTGGATTTGCCCTACAGGTCATCACACAAGTGACCTGAAAAAGATGATGCAAGAAGTTGGCTACAGGGCTGGTGATTGAAGTCTCAACTGAGTGTGAAGAACTGTGACAGATTTTAAGATCACACACTGCAGCCCTGCAGAAATACAGGTGCTCTGTCCTACAACGTAGGAGTTGGAATCTTGTCTTTGCAGGCTGTTGAAACCTAATGGGGAGAGGCCCTGGGGCCCCTGCTTATTGAGACTGTCAGCATGTCCCTTCAGGGAGCAAAGGAGGAATAGAGATGCAGGTTGCTACTGTCAAGTTAATGGTCCCGACACCAATGCTTGATGCAGCTCATCTGGTTTACTGCTAACTGCTATTCAATGGGTAAGGTCACCAAGCAAGTTGTGGCAGACACTCAAACAGTTTCTTGAGTTCTAAGAATTTTTTGACCCTGATCACAACATAGTGCTAGCTCTTGTGTGGGGCAGAAACTGCACTGGTTGATTCTAACAGTAAGTAAATGGCTGGTAGCGCCACACAGATTTTTTAAAAACCTGCAGCAGCTTTTGATACCTTTTCATTATGAAGTTTTCTGTTCTGGCTTACAGATGAAGGCAGGGAAGAGTGAAATTGTTCTTAAGTAGCTCTCTTCTCATCTCTCCAAGTGTCCAGAAGCTAACTGTGGGCAAACGTTCCTCTGTGCAAAGAATGCTCTCCTCCAGGGTATTAATGTACTGTCAATTGAAAATGAAGTGGCTGGAAGCACAAGTGAGGCAACATGGGCTGCAGAGCATTCAAGTACTTTGACAGTATAGTGGAGCAAAAGCTACTTTAAAAGACAGTTACCCATTTTGTAACTCGTGTTCTTTGAGATGTGCTGCTCATGTCCATTCCACAGTAGGCATGTGTACTTGCCACCTGCACCGGTGCCGGAAGATTTCCCCTTTGTAGTACCCACAGAGTGGCAGCTCTGGTGATTCTTGAAGTGGTGCCTCCAAAATGCTGTAGAAGAGGCACCACCCATTCCTCCCACCCTCAGTTCTTTCTTGCCAGATCCTCCAACAGCAGGGAAGGAGGACGGGTCACGGAATGGTCATGAGCAACAATTTTTATTTTTTATTTTTTTTTATTTTTTACAGTGGTTGCTCATGTTTGTTCCACAACAGGTGACTCCAAGCAGTATGGAGGTAGGTAGGCATTCACAGTCACATAGATTGCACCACAGTTCTGCTGACCCCAGCCATAGCAAGACTGGATGCACGATATGATCCAGTTGGAAAGCTGCGGTGTGGAAACCAGCAGGCTATCGACTATCTCGATTAATAGCTGTGTTGATCTATGGAAGGACTTAGTATGTTCCAGGTAAAAGGCCAAGGCCCTTTAGATGTCCAGAATGTGCAAATGCCTCTCCCACTGTCTTGTGAGGTCTGGGGCAGAACACAGGCAGGAATATGTCCTGGTCCAAATGGAAGGAAGAAACAACTGTCACGTTGCTGGATCTTGAGGGGAGCAGCCAGATCACTGATGCACCCATAGGTGTGGGTGTTGGCCCCAAAAATGGTATAGAAGGGGGCCATGTGAGGTATTGAATAGAAGCTTATTATCGGATAATCTTATGTACGCTGTTCATGTGTTTGTATAATGTCTGTGTGTGCAATTATTAGCATGTACTTGTATGGACACTGAAGATTTCCCTGCATGTGGTTAAGCATTGGGCAGGGCCGAGTCTGTGGACATGCTAATTACCAAGGCCCTGTGGAACAATGGCTCTCAATGGGCCAGCAGGGAACACAGAGATTGGCCTCTGACCAGGTGACCTGCTACATACTAGAAGAGGCCAGGAAGGAGGTATAAAGAGTTCATGTGGTCGATGCCATTTTGTTCTCAGCTCAGCACTTCATCCCAGAGACAGCATTGCAGGGATCAAAGAGCCCGGAAGACCTGTGAACCCATCCTGATGCTAGGATGTGCAACAAGAACTTTTAAACCAGCAGCTGTAACATCTCTGCTAGAGCCTGCATCGAGGACTGGGAGATTCGGTGCATATAACGTAATATTCTTTAACAACCTGACTCTCATGCTTTTCTTTCTTGTGATAATAAACCTTTAGTTTTAGATTCTAAAGGATTGGCCCAGCGTGATTTGCGGGTAAGACCCCACCTGTGTATGAGGCCCGGGGCCATCTGGGGCACGAATATTGCTGGGGTGTAGGGGTTTTGCTCGTGAGGCTTCAGGCAGGCTGCTGAAGCACTTTGTGGGCCTGTTTGGAGAGGTCACCAGTTTGGGGGCTGTAAGGAGCCCCGGATTTGAGCAATTCGCCCTGAGCAGACGCCCTCAGTTGTGCCCAGACACGGCCCGGTCCGTCACAACAACCTTCATCACGAAAGCCGTGTAGGGCCACAGCTAGACCTGGTCTCTGCAGATGACAGTGAAGGGTGAAGAAAGGTCCCTGTGAGATGATCCCAGAGAAAAAGTGTTGTCTGATACACAGACAATAAGCACGTCTCTCCCTGTCTACTGATGTAGGACACCAAGGTTGTGTTGTCTTTGAGGATTCACACCACTTTGACCAATGTGCGGCAGGAAGATCTCACACTGCTCTGAGCTCCTTGATGTTTCTATATGACCTTGCTTCCTCTGGTGACCCTTGGGTCCAGAGATTGCCAAGGTGAACCCCCAGCAGATATTCGAGGCATCCAACACCAGCTTGAGGGAGAGAGTAAGGATGTCAAATTGGACTCCCTCCAGAACATTCTCTGGAGTACTCTACCACTGCAGTGCAATATGTACTGGCAGAGGAATTGTGACAGCTTTGTCCAGGTGGCTCTGGGATTGGGAGAAGGTTGATGCCAAGTATTGCTGGAGTAGCTGCATGCAGAGTCAGGTGTGACACACCGCCATCTGCCCCAAAACGTGCAAGCAGATTCCGGCCATGGTCAAGCATGGCACGGACATCTCCACTATGAGATTTGCCAGGACTTAGAACCTGTCTGGGGGCAGGAACGCTTTCGCTCTCATATGGGTCAAGTTGAGCACTGCTCTGATGAGCCCTATTCTTTGAACTGGTATTAACATGGACTTTTTGTTGCTGACTAGGAGCCCCAGGCAGTGGCAGGTATCTAGGAGAATTGCTATGTTGTGATGGACATTGGTCCTAGAGCTGTCCTCGACCAGCCAGTTGTTGAGGTAAAAGTAAATCTGGACAGTCCTGGTACCTGGGGCAGGCTGCCACTACCACCTTGCACTTGGTAAACACCCTTGGTGCTCTAGCCAGGCCAAAAGGGAGGCCCATACATTGATAGTGAGTTTACTCCATTGTAAACCGAAAACATCTGAACTGGAAAGACTGCCACAAGGAAATATGTGTCCTTCATGTGGAGAGTGGCATTCCAGTCTCCTACATCTGGATCCAGGAATCATGGCAACTAAGGAGACCACACTGAACTTGAGCTTTCATAAGTATCTGCTTGAGTTATCGTAGGTATTGAGCCCGGCTGGTTTGAAGGCGTTGGCTGATTGGGTGCTTAAAGCCCTTGCTTTTCTTAGCCAGGGGGCTCCTTGTGTAGCTGGTTCCCAGGACATGGAGGATGCTGTGGGTAAAAACCTTTTATGGGCTGGCCTGGAGAGGTACAGTCCCTGGGTCAGTGACCATTGAAAGGGAAGTCCTGGAGAGATTAATGAGCCTCCATAGATAGCCTGGAGAGGAGTAGCCAGGACACTTGACACATGGGTATGGCCAAAGTCATTGTGCACACTGTGAAGTCCACCGTGTCTGATGTCACCTGGAGAGCTGTCTCGGCAGCTGCTGTCCCCATGTCGAGAATTGCCTGAAACTCTTTCATTGAGGCCCTGCGAAGCAATCTCTCAAAAACTGACGATGGTCCATTACATATTAAAAATATAGTGACCAAGGAAGGATTGACTATTTGCCACCTGCAACTGAAGGCTGGGAGATGAATTCATTTTTCATCCAAACAAATGTAGCCTTTTTGAGTCTTTGTTCTTCAGTGTCGCCCCTACGTGCTCTTGCCTCTCCTTATGGTTGACCACCTCCACCACGAGGGAGTTGGCGCTGGGTGCCTGTAGAGATACATATGGCCCTTTGATGGCACCAAACACTAAGCCCTCTTTGAAATGGGTATCAAGGAAAAAGGTGTTTGCCAGAGGGCATTTGTGAACTTTAGAACCCCTTTCCAGGCAACCCAGCTGGAGGTTGGTTTGAGGTGCTGTGCACGTCAAAGGTGGCATCAGCTGGCTTCTTGAGCTCCTCCACCTATATCCCCAGATTAGAGGCCACTCTCTTTATGAGTTCCAATTGCACCTTTGCACTGTTCAGCAACACCAGATGAGGGGAAGCTGTGATGGCAAAAACAACGCCGGTGTCAGGGGCTCCGCTCCTTGTTCCTGTAGTGCCACTGGTCAGCTTAGGAGGAGCTTTTGGGAGCAGAGGATCTCTTCACCTGATGCTTGCATCTGCTTATGAGGTTGAGACAGCGAGGCCGAAGATGCCCCTGAAACTGACCAGGCAGCCTGGGATAGTTGGGTGAATCCCCACAGGTTCCAGGGCCATAGCCACTTTCCTTGCAGCTATCCCCAAATATGCAGTGCTGAATGCTGGGGTGGCACCATGGGAGTCTGTGTCTGGCCTGGTAGCAGGGACTCATGCTCCACGCCAGCTTCCGAAGTCACACATGCGTTGCCCAGAGACCAGGAACAAGAGGGCCCATGACTTCCTTTCATAGAATGGTAAGTATGGTGGGCCTGTGAGCAGGACCATCCTGAGGGGGGTGTGGGGGCACTCCAAGTCAGGGGACTCAAGCGGTGTCTGTGATGCCTGCCTCCCCCAAGTCTGAAGCTTGGAGGCTTTACGAGGGGGAGCACTGGCAGGCTGGACCCACAGGTGGGGAACAGGGTCAGTGGGGAGAAGCTCTGAAGGAGACCAACATGGGCTGTGGACACTGGCACCTACAGTATATCCTGTGTCGCCCATGGAGCTTCCGGGGTCTACAGCACCACCACGTCCCAGAGACCATCATTATTCCCTGGTGCAGACAAGTGGGGCGGGGCCAGTTTGGGCCACTCCACTTGAGCTGAAACCCGACTTCCCAACAGAGGTGACTAGACACCCACCAAAAGACTGGTTTCCCTTCCCTGCTTCTCCTTTTCTTTATGGGACAGAGGAAAATGCCCCTTTGTCGAAGCTGGGGCTGTGTAGTGCTAGCTGGAGGATGGCTCCAGAGGGGGATGCGTGAAAGTCCCCCCCCTTTTTTTTGGTCCAGGGCTGAAATGATTTGCAAATTCAGCACTTTATCACTGATGTGTCCGTTGCTGAGACACCTGAGGCAACAGTTGTGCAGGGTCACTAACAAGCATAGGATGTCTGCACATTTCACAAGTCTGGGGATCAGGGCATGCCACCTGGGATAACAATAATAGTAACTACTAATACTGAAAGTCCCCCCCCTTTTTTTTGGTCCAGGGCTGAAATGATTTGCAAATTCAGCACTTTATCACTGATGTGTCCGTTGCTGAGACACCTGAGGCAACAGTTGTGCAGGGTCACTAACAAGCATAGGATGTCTGCACATTTCACAAGTCTGGGGATCAGGGCATGCCACCTGGGATAACAATAATAGTAACTACTAATACTAAGGGAAACTACTACAAACAACTATCTACAAAAGAAAACTGTTAGCAGAGAACAAGAAAGAGCAAAGAATGGCTAAAGCCACATCAGTTCTGTTACACTGTCTATGGTGACAAGAAGGAACTGACGGGTGGAGGGAGCACATAGGTTCCCTTGTACTGTGCCACGGAGGCATTATCCCTGCTGTCACAAGAGTAGCTCCCTCTGTGTATCACTGAGAGAAAAAACTTCTGGCACCAGCGCATGTGGCAAGGACACACACCTAAAGTGGAACGGACATGAACAACACATCTAAAAAGAAGAATATATAATTTCAAGCTTCGATAAAGACTAGTTGGCTGTTACTTATTTGGATAAGTGTGATATAATCCCAGGGGGTTTGAAGAATAGATCAGACTGATACCGGGGACCTTCATTAAGGGAATGTAACTGCCTTTTATAAACACAGATATGTAAATTGGGTGTATTATTAAATTCTGGGCTCTTCTAGCACACCCAAGGACTGGCCAAGAATCCTCCCCCCCCACGTAGTTAGTGAGAAAAGCAGGATTTTCCTTTACAGTAAAGACCTAGCCTGCCCCAGTTACGCCCACTCTCATTATCACCTGAAAACCAGGCTGGTTCAATACGTTCAACATGGTGCTACATACACAGATTATTTCAAATCTGAAGCTAGTGAAAAATGCCTTGACTGGTTTATTGCAAACAATTATGTATCAGGAGCCCATGTTATGGAATCTGTACTGATTGCCAATACAATTCATAGTGGTTTTGTTGCTACTAAATGGTTTGATACATGGTTATTTAAGAGATCATTTCGTTCAGAGCCTAGACTTATGCTTCCAGACGCTACTCTACAAAATTCCTGAACCCTCTCTCCCATAAGTTTTTGAGAAGCCAGAGTTTATTTTATAGTCCCCATATTAGCTGGCATATGTATGTCAAGGGTAGGATTAGCAGTCTTTTGATGTATTTCATTTCTGTTTTAGTTTATGGAAAGGATGGAGAAGAAAATCAATGACAAAACATGACTATGGCAATTTAAAAAAATGACAAGTAATTACAAGCACTACATCTGTCTAAGTCACCTGGTTTTACCATCTTACTTTATTTTTCATATTTTTAAAAATGTCTTTGACTTCCCCACTCCTGGGTGGTTTCAGAAAGGAACTCTGTTTGAAAATTGCTGAAACTGGTATCTTTATGCTGTAAATGGCATATATTAAACTAACCAGAAAATAATCTCCCTTTTTACACAGTGATATATAACTATAGTAGGTCCTCCAGTAAAACAGTCAGTTTTATGATGCTAGTTTTCTTTTAATCACCCACATACATGCTTTAAAAATCAGTTTTCTGATTCTGAAGCAAGATATAGCTTTAAAGTGTTAGATGGGTCCTGTAAAGAGGATTGTGTGATTTTTGGATCTGAGAAATAAGGAGATGATGGACTATTTTGAGTGAAAGAGCTTTGAAAAAAGGCTACAGAGGGGACATGGTACTGGTATTTGATCTTCTGTGGGTTTGCAAGATTCAGAAATGACACAATTTCCACAATTTCCACCCAGACAGCGTTAAAATAGATTAATAACATTGTGATTTCAACACAGATCTTAACTGGTATTGGTAGCCACTGTGGCTGCAAAGTGTAACAAGGAAATCACTATAGGACTCCTGTCTCACTGGACCAAGATGGGGACCACACAAGTAAAAAACAAAAAAAAACCCCTGAGCTCTTTCCACAGACTTACCATCTGTGGGTGCCCCAAACTAGTTAACTTCTGAAATCTGTCCAGTCTTGTAGAGGCTACTAATGAAGGAATACGTGCCCCATGATAAGAGTTGACATAAATGACCTCTAAATGCTATAAACTCTGAGGCTAGGTTTTCTATGTATTGTGGATAATGGATCGCCATCCTATGAAATCCAAGGTTGCTGGTAATGTTATCAGATGAAAAGAGAGAAACCCACCTAAAACTCGTAGACTGGCTGAAGATGAAACCGAACCCATATCGTTTGCAGCTATACAAGTATAGATACCATCGTCTTCTGTGGTCACACCAATGATTTTCAAGGATGCCTCTCCTAAATCACTACAAAACACATTAGAATCAATCAGTGAGTTCCATGCCCTGTTCCAAAGTCTCTAGCTCTCAATGCATCTTACATTTAAATTCATCACTCTTACAATACACATGCACCAACTCCACTAAAATCTAGTACATCCTAGTGCTGAGTATTTCAGAGTGACATCTTATAGACTCATGTTAGAGTCAGTCTTCATCTGACAACTAGTCTCTCACTCCCAAACTCTCTGAGGTCTGAAGATGAGGAATTTCTTATTTCTCCGGAAGTCCCCATTTTGTAGCAACGTTTGTGTCAGAGAATCCGCTACAGAAACCTTTAATACTGCCTTTTGGTCAAACTCGGAAACACCCTCCCTTAGCACGGTGCTCTGGAGCTTTTTGTATTTGCATGTCATCCAACAGTTTAAAACATAATGACATTTTCTGCCACAACATTTGTTTGACCATCTAGTGCCAGGAAAACACCATTTTATTTTTTTAAAGGAATAGCAGCATTTAATTAGCCTTACTCTCAGTTTATTCAATGAGCACCTCAATTAAAAAAAACAAACCCAAAATAAGGGAATTTAGTGACTATGAAAGTGAAAACTAAGAACCATATGATGAGTCAAGTTTAAGCACTGTGTCAGCTTCTTATTCAGGTCTTCCAATGAGCCTATGCCCTGCAAACCCCCTTCTATTCCAGCATTATGCTTCTCTGTAGCAGAGATAGAGTTTGGTGGAATGGATAAACATCTAACTAGCAGAAAATCTCACTTGTGCATTAAAATTTTAACTTGCAGGAATCATTTAAATTTCCTATGACTGAACGTTTATTCAATAAACATCACTCAGTATTATTTTATCTGTATGTATTGAGGATATTTACTTTATGCATCTGACAGCACTTTTGGCGTAGCCCATTAGCCAGTTCTCCCAGTTTGTATGGGTTTCTAATAGCAGCAGGGGAGAAGAAAAATGAACACACTCACTCAAAGATAAGTGTGATGGAACCACAACAATTGCCATGAAGAAATAAGGAAATGGGAGTATTTTAAAATTCCTGTCACTGGTTTTTTTTTCAAAATTGGCTACATTTGACATGAGACACTCACCCTTCTTTTGGAAATCAACAATGCTTAGGGTAAAGACTCACAGGCCTTCCAGCAGTGAATCCTTTGCGTTTCACAAAGACACGAAATATTTCATCATAAAATCTTTAGGTCAGCTACACCGCCCACAGAACAAATCCTGCATTAATGCTGCTTGCTGAGACCAGAGTTAATTCCTGAGACTTTCAAGAAGTCTAAAGGTACTTCTAATGAGCCTGTGCCAAAACACACACACACCCCACGGAGGCGCACACACGCATATCCAACATGGTTTGCATGATTTCTGGATTAGCAGAAAACTAGGGAATTGGCAGCTAAAGCCTATTATGTGCAGTCAAAACATAAAACTGGAATTTGTACAAAACTTAGTTATTTTGGAGAGAGGATAGAATAGAAAATGCAACATGGCACCGAAGACCATGCCGTATACTGAAAAGAAAACAAGAATGCTAAGGGACAAATGAACACACTACTGTACCTGTATGAGATGCTGTAGTGACTGTCATTACTTAGGGTGTTATGGTCAGGGCCCTTCCAAGTTACTGAAGCTTTGGGGCGACCACAGACTTTACACCTAAAAACGATGGTCTCTCCTGTCTCACATGTGACCTCACTCAATGGTATTATAAACTCTGGGGGAACTGGAAGAAGAAAAGTAATTCAATTAGTGGATTGAGATTTACCCCCTTTCATCCTTCCTTCCCACTACTCCACTATAAAGCAGTATATTTACTAGGGATGTAAAAATAACCATTTAAACGGTTAACCGATCAGCCTGGGCTTATCAGTTACCATTAACATTTACATGCAGGCTCCTGCCCCACTCCTGGGGAGCAGCTGCTACCCTGTGCTACTGGCTCTGCAGCTGGTGTGGACCGGGAGCTGGCTTAAAAACCAGGTCCTGGGGAATCAGCTGTTCCTCTGTGCTGTGGTGCATGCAATGGGTGAGATTTTCAGTGGTTACATGGTTACCCAGTTACCTGCTTTTTAACATCCCTAGTATTTGGGCCTGCCCCTCTCTGCTTGAAATACTTGTTCCATACATCCAATTGAAAGCTATGTTGTTAGATACTTAGACCAAGCAACTGGGACTCTGCAGAGGTCTTCTCCATAATTAGTCTCCCATTCTATGCATGAATTTGGGCAACCTTTAGGCTACCACAAAGATTTAACTGAAAACTAAACACTATCTGAAGTGAGTTTCCTTAGTAAATTCTACAGAGTGATCTAAATGCATCTGCTGAAGTTTTTTTTTCTAATCCTTTAAAGAAGCATTAGCATGTGTGACTCCATTAATCTAAAACCAAGTGCAATCTCATGTCAGAAAGAGTCCGAGTAGCCCCAAGGGATGAGAAAGGATAACTGAGATACCTACAAAATTAAGTTATATTCAACATCTGGGCCAGACCAATTTTCACCTCAGAAGTGGATTATTGAATAGAATTTACATGTGGAGATGACTCAGAAGCCAGACTGAGTGCAGAATGCTCTACTAAATCTAATGCATGATGTTAGCAAAGTTCAGCAAATACATAGGCTTTCTGTTTACTTGTAGATCTGATTCAAAACGTTGATTACATCCAATATGGGTTGGTCCCTCTCTCTGCCTCTCTATGTCCTGATCAGCCCTTTCATTTGAGGCATTCCTATTACCATTCCCTAGGTTTGAAGGTGACAGAATTGGAGGCAAAACATTCTTAGGAGAGGGTTCTCAACTCTAGATCATGTTCTCCCCCTGGTCTAACAGAGCCTGGATTTTACTAGCCTTCTGTGTTCAATGTAAGATCCATCTCTCTTTTTTTTGTTCAGGCATAAACCATACTGGAGTGGGAGAAGAAAGGAGTAGATGGGAATTTGTTGGCAGTGGTGTTTTTAAACATTTCTTAAAGTGTATAATGCAGTACAATATATATTTGTTATTAATTGTGGAATAATGACCAAAATTCCAATGGAAGATTTAATTCTTAAATCTACTATTACAGTACATGCAAAGAGGAGTGATTTCTCCTGAACTCAAAAGTCCCATCATCAGCAAATACAATGCAAAGTATGTTTTTCCTCACACTCCAGTTACTGTGGCTTTTAATTATTAAAACAACTTACCATCATAAATGTAATTGGGGTTGAGAAGCTGAAAAAAGGAGAAACTGAATTAATTACTTCTTAAAAGTAACATTCTTATAACCAATCTTATTTCATACAGTCTAAAATGAAAGCAATTTAGCATGGTGACGGGTTTTACCCATGCCCACAAAAGCCCAGAAACAGCTGCAACTCAGTATTTTGGTATCCATGCCACTCTTCCCATAACAACTCTGGAATGAAATTATAGCCCCAAACTGGAGAACCACTTCCATATGTTCTGTATGTGGAGAAACAGCATTAAGAACCACACACACTGAGCCAAATTCCATTCATGTCAACAACGTTATACAAGAGATGAATTTGACCCACTAATTTTAAACTGCCCCACAGGATCATTTTTGCGAAATACCATACCCTTACAGTATTTACCTTAACCGAAACCTTATTGGCAAGTCCTTCACGGGATTTTCGATAACCATTTTCTAGCTTGCCTTCCCTTTTGCCGTCTTTGTCTTTTTTCTCAGATTTTTTCCTTAAACGGAGTGCTGTGTGCCAAGATGTTGACTTCCTGAAGGCAGAACATTAATCAACATTTTGTTCAACTCTTTTGAACCCTCATCATGGCATTGTAGTGTTTAACTTCACTTGCATTGGAAAATTAGATTTGCAAAAAGTTATAAAGTGGAAGGATGCAGGGTAAGTACGAGACATTTTGCGTTTGCTTAAAACTGTAGACAAAAATGAGAAGATCAATGAGAAGTGTTTTAATTTATGGAATCTTACCTATGAATCTCCTACCTATAAAATCATGAAAACTGTCAAACACAACTATGGGCCACCTCTCCTGTCTCTAGCATTGACCAAAGACAGATGTTTCAGAAACAAATGTAATCTCCCATATAGTATCCAATTTTCCAATAATATCATATGGGGAGAAATATAGCTTCATGCACACAACCACCTTTGTGCCTGAAAGTAGTGGTTTGCAACCACCAGGTCGTGGACCTCTGGCTGCCGGGCCACAGCAGCTCTGGAGTACACCGCTCCTGCTGCAGCTGTTGGCTGTGTCCTGCCCCACTTCTCAGGTAACCAGTGCTGACCAGGGGCGGGGTCTCCTCCTGGACACAGAAGAGCATTTTGCTGTGTGGTGGAAGAGCCACATGGAGCCTGGCACAGCAGCCTTACAGCAGCCACGACCTGGGCAGCAGCGCTCAGCTGGTGGCTGGGAGGCAGTGCAGGGCTGGGAGAGGGAGGCGGGGCAGGCACTGGGGATTCCAGGGCTGGAGCTAGTGCTGGGAGGGTCTGGGGGCGGGGGTCGGCCCCGAGGGATTCTGGGGATGGGGCTAATATTAGGGACTGGGGGCTGGCACAGGATGCAGTGGTGCTCTGGAAAAAGGAGGCTGGCACTGATACTTTTGGGATGGGGTTGGCACTGTAGGGCTCTGAGGGCGGGAGGCTGGCACAGGGTGGGGTTGGGTGCAGGGGACTCTAGGGTAAGTGGCTGGCACTGAGGGGTAGTGGAGGGGTGGGGGCCTCTAGGAGTTAGAGCTGGCACTGAGGAGCTGTGGGGACCGGTGCTTTTGGCGGACACCTAACATTTATTTGCATATTTATTATTTCCATAATGAATATGCGAATAAAACATTACCTATCTACTAAAAGTTTGTGAATGGGTTTGCCAGTCCCTGGTATAAAAAAGGTTGGGAACCACTTCCCTAGAGCTTAAGAACTAGCACATCTCGTCCCAACTGATGTAACTATCGTGTATTATTCTTATTAATAGAAATACCTAATTCTTAATAAACTGCACCATTTAAAGAATGCCTTAATTTCCATTTAAGCTCTCCTGATTTTTTTATTATGGGAACGTTCTAAATATGATTGCAGACTTAGGTATCATTTCAGGAAAGCTAAACAACATTTGTAATAAAGGAAATACCTACATGGATTTCTTATATATTTCTACCATAGCCAATTTCCAACTTATAAATCAGTTTTTCTGACACCCAGATAGATGAGATATCTTCCAAGAATTCATCAGATGTGATTTCCATTTCCTTTTGGATGTTCTCATAAAATTTTAGTTTAGACAGCTTAATTCCTGTTTTATTTGTAACTCTTTTTGCAGTAAGTCCAAGTAACAGAAAACATGTGTAAACCCTCTTCTTTTCTGAAGAAACCCAGACACTCACTTCATTGTTCCATCATGGTTATCAATGATGACTGCACTGGTGTGCCCCAAGACATAGCCAGGAATCCAGCCCTCGGCTGCAGGGCACTGGTCAGTGGCGGCTCTGAACACCAAAAACATGTTCTGTTGGTTGCTGGCTAAAATTTGCACGACCTCTCCTTGGTAGACATTTATCTCATCCTCCTTCACTGCCGTGTAATCGTGTGTCACCAACATGGTGGAGATATTGCTACTGCTGCTACTTTCACTCTGTAGTATTAATTGGGAAGGAATAAAGAAGGGAAGGGAAAAATGTGATGAAGTTTAGAGTTCAAACAGAGGATACAGAAGATTACATTGTACTGTGACATTAAACAACATACAGGCCAAGGAGTTTATCCTTCTTTTTGCCCTTGCCTGGTTTACTATATTCTTTGTCATTTACACACATAGAATATACCTTTTACCTGCCGTTACAGAAAGCTGATGAACAAATGGGGGTTCCCCCCACATTTGTTAGTTGTATTTATTATTCTATGGTTCCCAGTTTTATTGAAGCCTCACAGCATGTCTTTTTACTACCTACAAAAGCAAACTATAGTACACGAGATTATCCATTAGGCGGCATTCTAAATCACAATTTGAAAGAGACCAAAAATTAAGGCTCAAACCCAACCTGATCAAAGCTGGGTAATTCAGCATTGAAGCAGATGAATCTCACCTTGCTCCATTTGTAGAGGCCAGTAGTCTAATCTTGCATACAACATATAATAAGGTACAAAAGGGCAAAATTAATTGGCTTTTGTTAGTGTTTCTCAAAAAATATAATTCCTGGTATTTTTGTTTGTGTGCTTTCTTCTTCTTCATTTTTAAATGTATAGGATTACCTACTTTTTAGTATTACATTATCATGAATCTCACCTTGCTCCATTTGTAGAGGCCAGTAGTCTAATCTTGCATACAACATATAATAAGGTACAAAAGGGCAAAATTAATTGGCTTTTGTTAGTGTTTCTCAAAAAATATAATTCCTGGTATTTTTGTTTGTGTGCTTTCTTCTTCTTCATTTTTAAATGTATAGGATTACCTACTTTTTAGTATTACATTATCTACTTTTTGGTTAAAAAAAAAAATATATATATATATATATATATATTTAAAAAAATAAAAATAATTATTATTATTTTTTTTTTTTTTCCCCCCCCCCCCCCCCCCCAAATAGAGCATTAATTGATCTTTGGGTACCATAGGTTTGGAGTTTCTTTTTCTCATTTCTGTCAGTAAATACAACCATTAGAAGAGTATATAGTTACAGTCTTGGACTGCACATTGTATGGGTATAACCTGAACTTTTTGCCTTCCTCCTTAATAAGCATTGACAGCAAATGCTGTATTGACTGATCAATAACTCATATGATATAGATAACACTAAAAAGGTTTTTTTGCCAAGAAAAGTTCTCTCTCCTAACAGAAATCCTACGTGGAGCATCACTTTGGCAGCGATTCAAATACAGAAAAGAAATATTTATTGAACACTTCTGCCTTTTCTGCATTATTATTGGTAATTCTACCATTTCTATCTAGTGATGAGCTGATGCTATTAAGATTCTTTTTGTTCCTAGTATACTTAAAAATGTATCTTCTTATCATTCTTAACTCTGATGGTCATAGATTTCTCCTTCTAGTCCTTTGATTCCCTTACTGATCTTTTACAGTTTCTAATGCCTGATTTATGTTCACTACTATCAACTATCCACTTCTATAACCACTAGCTATATATTATTCTTACATTTTTTATAAGTAAAAAAAATGTGAGAATAATATATAGCACTTCTCTCCTCTAAAAACCAGGTCAGTTTAAAAAAAAAAAAAAACAATACGGCCTTCTCTTTTGATTGTGGCTCTCTGGTCATGTGCTCTGAACAATTCCCCATGATCATTCACATGTTCCTGATTAAATTCTTCCTCCAAGCTGATTTGTCTTGTAATTGTTTTCAGCTGTGTGAAAACTGGCCCCATTAAAGAATC